GTTTCCCTACGAGGAAAGATGACGGTGTAGGAAAAGAGAGGAGGGGAGGCATTCAAGCAAAGCAAGCTTTGATTTCCTACCAAGACAAAACAAAACAAAGTTCCCACTATTTGTGCTTCTCAAAGGGATGCACTAAATAATAAGTGAAGTTGAAGCTCTACCGGTCGAATTCTATAAAACTTTGTCAAGTTCTGGGGCCAGCAAGTGGTGTGGTGGTTAAAGGCGCCGGACTCCCACATGGCTGACCACGGTTCAAGCCTCGGACCTGGTGGCTTGCTTTCTCACTTCCTCTCTCTCTCTCTGTCTCTCTCTGATCAAACTGAAAAATAATAATGATAATAATAATAAATAAAGTTAAATAAAATAATTCTAAAAAAAAAATTAAAAACTTTGTCAAGTTCTATAAAACCCCTGCTCTGTACTCTTAAAATACTCTTGACTTCTGCTCCTTGTTTTGCTCCTACATATCTGGCTGCTTTTTCTCAGCTTCTTTTCTGGCTCATCCTTGTCAACCCGATGCTTAAGTACTGGCACCTCTCGTGAATCTGTCCCAGGCACTGGTCCCTCCTCTGCCTTGACCTCAATGACTCTCATGGCTTCAACAACCATGTATACTCTGATGCCTTCTAAAGGAATTATCTCTGGCCCACTCTCTCCTCCAAAAATGAGATCTGAATATGCAACGGCCTTCTCCACCCTTCCACCTGCTTCTCCCAGGGGCACTTCAAGTCGGTGTGTGTAAACTTACTGGCTTCCACCTAGTCAAACCTAGTTCTCTTCCACTAGGTTTCTGTTGGTAATTGGCATCACCCACCCAGTCTTGCTAGCCAGAATCCTGAAAGCCAGCCTTCTCCCTCACCCATTCATCTTCTGGATCTTGTCAATCCCACCTCTGGAATATTATGGGAGTTCACCCTCTTTTCACCATCTCCACTGTCACCCACTGGACCAAATGTCATCATCTCTTGCTTAGATGACTTCAGTGTCTCCTAAGCTGTTCTTCCTTCTTCTGCTCTTACCTATCCAATCACTTCTTCACAGAAGCCAGAAGAATCTTTTACATATGTAAATCTTATTACATAGTTCCCTATTTTGAATTCTTTGATAGTTTTCATGTCTTTAGAATAAAATGTAAAATTCTAGAAGACTCTCCGGGATCTGGATTCTGCCTACCTCAGCAGCCGGAGCCCATTCTACTCTGAAAAGTCCTCCTTTTGCACCCTCCATCTAGAATGCTCTTTCGTCGCCTCTTTTCACAACCTTATTGCATTCACTGATACAAGTGCAGTTTGGGATAAACCCCAATGGACAACACTAACTCCCTGAGCAAATTCTAATTCTGTCAAATAAGTTCAACTGATCACGTCACAAGGAGGAGGAGAAGATTTCCACAAGTTGGCTCGAGGGTAAATGTAATGATTTTCTACGTCCACCCCAAGAAGCTTCTTCCTAAGCTACCTGGGCTCTGGGGCACCCGCGGCTGGATTTGAAAGTGGGAAACACATACCTTTCTCTGCATTCTGAAAAGCGAAGTGATGCTGGGCGGATGTGCCGCTTCCCATGGTTTAAGTGCGATGTTCCTACAGGTGCAGAGAGCAAATCCACGCTCAGTGAGCTGTGTGCTGACAAAGGAAGCGGGAATCTGCAACAGGGAGATTCAGGCAGAGTATTAGTTCAAACGGATCAAATTTTCTATAAGTCACGCGAATGCATGCTCCAACCCTCCAGTCTCAGTGCACAAGGCCTTTCTTCTCCTGAGAATTCCCTCCACTTGTCATCCCATATCGTGCCTGTCTTTGGCCTTTCAACTGGTTTTTTTTTTTTTTTTTTTCAATATTTTATTTAACTTTATTTATTTATTTTAATTTGACCAGAGAGGAAAAGGGAGAGAGGGGGTAGAGAGAGAAAACCACCGGTCCGGGACTGGAACCATGGTCCAGCGCCCTTAACCACCATGCCACCTGCCAGCCCCTCAATTGGCTTTTTCTTTGCAGTCTAGAAACATACTGAAGTCTCTCCTCTTCTTCTGCATTCTCAAGCAATTCTTCATTATCACCGTCATCATACTCCTTTGACCTGTAGCCAGCCAACTGTTACTCTTCCTCTCCTGTTCTCATCCAAGTGTCGCCTCTTAAAAACATCTTTTTTATCGTCACTATTTAAGTTGATGTCTCTAATACCTTCCTCTTTCCAGTCCTTATCTTGTCCGAACAGCACAGTGTGATTTTCAGGCCCCCAGTTCTGGGATTCCAACAACAGTTGCCATGGGCACTTTTTTTTTTTTTTTTTTTTTTTTTTATGGAGC